GGGGGGGGGCAAGGATTGTCATGGGGGGTGGGCGGAGGGCCGGGCGGGGGGCACGGGGGGGGGGCGCGATATGTCGGGGAGGGACGGGAGGGGGGTGGGCAGGGGGAGTGTTAAGTGTTAAGTATTGTCGGGGGGGCCGGGGGGGGAAAGGAATTGTCAAACATTGTCGGGGCACTTAGGTGCGTTGAGCGGAAGACCCTCAGCCCATACTTTTCACCTTCGCCCGTTTTCCCTTCTCCGGCCTCCTGGGAGGCCCTCTGCGTTGCCGCTGGATTTCCCTTCGAAGCCCGTGTGGGGAGAGTTTGTGGGAGCAGCTGTATCGGTGCCTTTCAGTTCTCCTGGTCCTTGTTGGAAAGGGCCCAGGGGTCCAGGACGGGTCCAGGACGCGCTTTTCCCACGACCCATGTCGCTCGTGCCGAGGAGAGGTTGGAAATTGTAAACAGTCGAGGAAAAGGGTGCAGAGGTGTCACCCTGCGTCGTGCGGGCAGTGTTGATCAGAGTGCGCATTTCTATCGCACTGTTCCGCAGTGTGCGTCGCCGCTGTGTGCCGCGGCTGGCGGGTTGCCGCCGTGTCACCGCCTTGCTGCTGGAAGCGACCGCACCCGCCCCGCAGCTTCTGTGAAAGTGAGGCCTCGCGCGAGTTAGCGTCACTAGACTGGCTGTCAAGGATGAGGTTGGGCGTTCGGTTCGAAGTGGCCGTCCCATGATTCTGCGCAGGGGAACCAGGATGCTCACTTGTTCAAGTCGTCCATCTGTGACGTGCGATGTAGTAGTTTTGGTTCCAAGGGGTAGCTATATCTCAGATTTGACGCTCGATGAGCTGCCCACTGGGCCCTTCGAGGTCTCGCAAGGCAACGTCTCACGGCTTTGTGGTGAACGGGGGGAAGCGGTGGGAAGCGATAGCGTTGCTAAACCGCAGCGTTGCCAGGAGGGAGTTGATGTTGCAAGGCGTGCGCAACCGCGCTTCGCGTGCGGACGCCCGTTTTCGCCAATCTCATACTGAATTGTTGGGTCTCACGTATTTTTCAGTGCGCGGTCTATTGATTGCCACGCTCGTGTCTCCGTGCACTATGGATTGAAGTTCAGACCGTTACGGTGTGACCACTTCTCTTCATCCATTGCCCACGCATTTACATACGCAATTTGGCGACAGCAAGTTGCTTGAGCTAGTAATGCCCATGATATCAGTTTTCGAAATTAGATGTTTTCGGAACCTGCTAGCTTCAGCACTCCGCTTGGTATTTCACATGTGGCGCACGCCCTGGACGTTGAGCTTTGAGTTTGGCATGGGTTTCGTGGGGCGTGGCCTGGCGGCCCTGATGGCCTTGACGCTCTGCATGCGCTGATGGCCTTGAGGCCGTTGATTGTCTCACTGTCGGCATCGTCCCAGGCAGGCCCCCCCCATGCTCTTGCTGCTCCCCCCATCTTCTGTGTCTGACCTCGGCCTGCTTTTTCGTACGTACTTTTTTAGCAATTGTCCGTTTGGGGACTCCCTCGGCACATCCGTGGCGAGTCTTCTGGCGGCGCGCGAAAGGGGGTATGGGGGAGCGGGGAAGGCTTCTTCGAAGGAGGCTGCTTCTTAGAAGGCGCCGGCCCTACATCCACAGAGAAGGTCCGCGCCTTCAAAGAAGCAGGGGTGCTTCTCAGAGGCCTTCCCCGCTCCCCCTTCCCCCCTCTGCGCGTGGCCGACTCGTTCAGGCCTCGAAATCGCCTTGGGCTGGGGGCCCAGGGGAGTCCTCGTGGCCACGCTGGCGGGCGTGCGAAAGCTCGGCAAGACGCCCCCGTATCACCAGCCGCTCCCGCCCTGTGCCACCGAGACTGAACGGGTGTGGAGTTCAGAGGTTCGGCGGCGAGCGAGAAGGGGAAGGCCTTCTCAGAAGACTCGGAAGTCCCCCGGCCTTCTGACAGGTCTTCTAGGCTCCTTTAGCCGCTTCCGCCTACGCCACTGAGGCTGAGCGGGTGGGGAGGTCAGAAGTTTGCCAGTCAACAAACCACCCCAACCCAACCAGAAGGCCCAAATTTACCCTCGATTTCCTATGGTGTGGGGGGGTGGGGAACATCGAAAGAACACAAGAACACATGCGGAGCCCGTACCTCCCCTCCAACACGAAACTTTGGTCTTCAGGTTATGTTGGGGTAGTCTGGTAGGTAGTCAGTCAGAAGCGCACGCGCTCCGCCAGCTCGCGTGACAGCGCGCGCACGCTGTGTCTCTGGCGCAGAGCGCCTTTCATCATGCCACCAGTTCAGCTTGGAATTAAGTCGGCAATGTCCCTCTACAGGAGGAATGTTCAAAAGCAGTCACAAAATGATATGGGGATGATTCTTATAGCATGTCCGGCAATCTTTGAATACTTGTAACTATTTTCACTGTTTCTCCCAAAACCCGCATGTAGGAGAACATGCCCGACCTAAGGTTTCTTATGCCTTGCTTTGCCGATCGGCGCGGGCCCTCGCACACCTCCTTCCCCCCCCTATGGAGTAGATGTTTGCTATCGTTGGCGCCTGTTTCAAGAAGGTGGAGCCCCCCTCATAGGACGCACTTTTGCAAACAGTCGCATTAAGCAGAGGTCCGCTCCCCCCCCCTCCGCCCAATCCCGAATTTTGGAAAACGTTGGCGAAAAGGTACCGAACACCGCTGCTCGTCCTGGACAGCCCTCTCCGCCACGGTCGGATGTTCCTTGAGGTTTTGGTCAGACCGCGCCATGGGAGAAGTCCGGGGAGCAGCGGTGTCGGTATTTTTTTTGTTTGTCCACCGTGGTTGTTGCAGTCGCAATCGCAGTCGCAGTTCGTGGTTGCTGCAGCACTCTGTCGTAGCATTCGTGCCGCTGTTCGAAGAAGTGTATTCGGACACTGTACAGATCGTTTTCTCTCCCACTGTCCCCTTCCCTCACCACTTCCCCTTCCCTCCCGGGACGTTTGGTGCATACAGTGGTGTTCATCAGGGGTGGACCCACACGGTGTTTTGGCGATTCCGTGGGCCGTTTTCGTTTTGATGTCGTGTCGCGTTAGAAGGGCGGATTGAAGACAAGGCGAGGAACAACGAAAATATAACGAACACGAAAAACGCCGTTGAGGTCCAGCCCTGGTGTGCATCACATGAGCGGTAATATGTCCCGCTGACGTGAATGGAAGTTCTTTTTGGGGTTTATGGTGTAAGGTTATGGTGTAGAGCTCAAGGATTGGTGTTTAGGGTAAAGTTTTTAGGGCTTGGGGGTTTAGGGTTTAGGGTTTAGGGTCCACTAGCCCAAGCCTGTTGGACGTGCCCCACCCACCCATGACCCAACACATGTTGACCTCAAAACGACCACGACGATACCGATAACGACGACGACGATATTGATCTCAAAACGTCGACGACGATGACGACGACAGTCGCGCAAAGTCTTTTGGGAAGCCGCTGCAACGGCGATGCGGCACGCGCGCGCGACGACGCGATTTGAAGAACAACGTATATTTACGCGAGCCTCTGTGCGTCGCAGGGACGCCGCCCAGTGGCGGTGAGATTGCATGGAATGGCTGCGCAACGAGCGCGGGATAGCTCGTTGCATCGAGGAGACGGATCCCCAGTTCGCATCTTTAGCACTGCAGCGCGGTGCGCGAAGGCCGATGCAAGGGCGATGCGACGCGCAAGGGCGATGCGACGCGCGCGCGAAGCGACAAACACGAGTAGCTCCCCGCAGCATCTTACCGACGCCTTGGCGATGCATGCCCCGGCTTGCCACGAGGCGCGCGGGAAAGGATCTGCGTGAGGGGTGCGCCCTGGGAGTTGCAAAAGCTCTCGGGGCACCAATGCTAGCACGCCGAGGGCAAGGATCTGCGTGAGGGGTGTGCCGAAACGGGTGGCGGCATAAGGGGGCGCATAAGGGAGCACGGTGGGGGTTTTGGGATTCAAATCTTTGCAGGCTCTGAGTTCTTAGGGTTTCGGGCCTCCGCGCCCGTGTCGTCACGGGGGCGGGCGAGCTCCCCGCGGGCGCGCGCACGACTCGGGCGTTCGCTCTTCGCCCTGCCCCCCGCCCACCCCCCGCCCGCCACCATCCGCCCCCCCCGTCCTGCTCCCTCCCCTCGCGGGCCTAGAGGTTGACACCGACACCAGTGTCGGCGGTGTGCTTCTCCATCGAGGGAGGAAGGCCCCGATCTCGGCGCTGGCGGTAGTATTCGGGCTTCAAGGTGGGCGAGATATTACCACCAGCGCCGAAATCGAGGATCACCTTCCCCGAGTGGGGGCAACCCCCTGTGTTGGTGTTGGTGCCAATGGTCCAGGTCTCCGATCCTCCCTTCGTGAAGGTCTGAATGGCGTATCCCGTCCCTCGACTCGCGCTGCAGCGGCGGCCGCGATTTGCCCAACGTGTTCCTAGACATCTCGGGATATAAGTGGATGCGCCCGGATTTACCCAGATGCATATGCATCTCCCTTGATTTGTTTGGTATGATCCGGACAGGTCGATTGGGGAAAGTTGTCAAGCCCTTACGCATCCCCCCCGTCCCGATTTCCCCATTTCCCCTCCTGAGAGTGCCACAGATCGGACAGGGCAGTGTCCCCTTGGTGGGTTCCCAGTGCGTCGTCGCAAGCAGAGTGTTGCTCCAAACCGGCACGGAGCTACCAGGAGTGGCCCGGGCTTCTCGCGAGAGGTCGACGTCTGCTTTGGTGCCCCCCACCAGCGCTCGACAGGAGTCGGTTCGCTCTGCTCTCCTCCCGAGCCCGCCCCTTCGGACGCAACTCCTGGGAGGTCGAATTCTGTTTTCGCCCTGGTCCGAAATCCTGCCGCTTAATCCGGCTTAATCCCGCTGAATCCGGCTTGACCCCGCTTCATCCGAGGCCCACTCCAGCGTAACAGCTCCCCAATGGGGCTCAATATCCTCCTTGCTCTTTCCGACGAAGACTTCCCAGTAGTTGCCTCCTGATTATTTAGCGTTCTCACTTGTATCAACCCGCCCGGCTGTAGCGATATGGGTACCTTGTGGCCTCCCAGTTTCGTCCTTTGCTGCCTCCCCGGGCCCAGGGCGCCCTCCACGCGAAGGTCCGGTGCGGCACCGCAGGCGGCCGCCCGCGCGCCCCGTGCGCAGGCCGAGGAGGGTCAAGAGGAGGAAGGGGGTGCGGTGTAGCCTCGTGCCGCATCGACCGGCGGCGGCCCCGCCAGCGGCGTTCCACTTGGCATCGCTCGGACGTGTGCATGTTTCTTTCTGCGAGAACCATCGAGGAGCATCCTTGATCATTTGTCGGGCGACGAGAATTATGCACATGCACCGATCCTGGCAAGGCCCATTTTTGACCCAGGATCGGTGCATATGCCTTCCTGGCCAAGGTAGGAGGACGTATGCACCGATCCTGGGCTCAGGATGGGCCTGGCCAGAATCGGTGCATGTGCATAGTTCTTTTTCCTCTAATTTGGCGAAAAAGAAAACACGCACGAAACCGAACAAAAACAGGGAATGGACGTCCGAGCGATGGCCAGTCCACTCTGAACGCCGCGGGCGGCCCAGCATCGTTCGGTGCGGAGCGATCTGGACGTTTCGGAAGCGGCCGATGGTTCAAGGCTGAACGACCCCCGCGGTGTCAGAAACCAACGCCGACGTCGGCACGACATGAATCTGACGTACCCATACCTCTACCCTCCCCTCGCTTTCCCCTTTTTGGGCCTCCTGGGCCTCCGCCGCCGTCACCGCCGGAGTCGCCCCGAAAGCCTCGTCGGAACGCACCCCAGGAGAGGTCTGGACAGCAGCGGTATGGGCACCTGTTTGTCTCCCCAGAAGGAGGGGGTGGGGGGAGGCAGCTCAGACGCGCGGAGCGTCGGGAGCAGGAGGAGGAGTGCCTGAGGCTCCTGCTACTCTAAATGCTCTTTGCCCTCCCGGGCTCCCCACTATTCCGCCTCTCTCTCTCTCTCTCTCTGCACTTCACCGCTCAGTCTGCCCTCAGGCGGTTGTACTGCTTTGTCTTGCCCCCGCGACACTACAACCTTGAGATGTAAGTCCGCTCAACGACAAGAAGGGCCTGAGGTTTCGAAGTGAAAGGCCACACGAACAACAACAATCACAATTGGAAGTCAAAAAACGCCTGTGATGATTTCTCAGCGTTTTCATGATTACCGGTTATCACAGAAAGACGCGAGATGCTTCGTAGCAGCGTGATAACATGGCCAGCGGAAGCCATCGAGAAGGCTTCTATGTGCGATGTGGCATTTGAAAAGGAGGCGGAGGAGGAGGAGGTGGAGGAATGCATGAGCTTCTGGAGCGAAGATACACGGAACACAATGGGGACCAGTAATCATACAACAAGTGTGATGTTTACTCTCAGTCTTGTCTACGATTAACGTGTGTCTCCCTCCCCCCAAAGAAAAACGTGAGATGTCCCATGTCAGCGTTCTGGTATGACTACTGGTTGGCATTGGCAATCAAACCCATTCGTGACGTTTCATCTGAGGAGGAGGAGGAGGAGGAGGAGGAGGAGGAGGAGAAGGAGTGTCTGAGGATCTCCTGCTGCTCCTTCTTGTGCCGCTCCCCTCCGGCGGTCTCCCTCGACACGGAGGGGCCCCGCCCCCTTCCCCCACACCCTTCTGGCCGCCGTTTCAGCCCGCGTTGACGCGCTCGCCTCTCCACCGCCCACCATCAAGCCGTGCGCCGGCCGGGCGAGGACGAGGAAAAGAGCCCACGAGGCCCCCAAGACGGCCCCAGGAGGAGACCAACAAGAGGGCGCACGAGCCGAAAGTCCGAGCCTTCCGCCCCAAGAGGCCTGCAGGAGACCCCGAGAGGCGCCCAGGAGGCCCCCAGAGGCCCCCAAGAGGCCCCCAAGAGGCCCTCAAGAGGCCCCAAGAGGCCTCCAGGAGACCCCAAGAGGCGCCCAGGATGCCCCCAGGAGGCCCCCAGGAGGCCCCCAAGAGGCCCCCACTCGCCCCGCGCACGCAGCCCCACGGTGGGCCGCGGGCGCGCAGCCCCGCGCTACAGCCAAAAACCTTAATAAGGACGCGCGACCTTGCTCAGGGTACCCTTGCGTCCTTGCTCCTCCTTGCTCTTGCGTCCTGGAGGCTTTCGTCGCCCGCCGCCCAAAAAATCTCAACTTCGGCTTCCAAGGGTCTTGCGTCCTTACCGCGCGTCCTTATTGGGGTTTTTGAGTGTACACCTTAGGCGATGCTTAAGAAAACTTAAGTTTTCGGCCAGAGTCTTGATTATTCTTAACGTTTCAATGTAAATCCTAAGATTTGAATGGAAATTTTGGGTTTTTATTCAAATTCTCAGACTATGAATTTCTTAACCCATGATTTCTTGAGCATTTCGCAGGGTGTAGCCCCGGGCGCGCAGCCCCAAGAGGCGCGGGCCGCAGCCCCACCGTGGGAGCCAGCGGCCCGCAGCTCGACAGCTCGAAAAAAGGCTGAGTCTGTGGCGAGGTGCTCGCGCGCTCTCGTCGGTCCTCGGCGGTGCTCCCAGCCTCCTCCTCCTCCTCCTCCTCCTCCTCCTCCTCCTCCTCTCCTCCTCCTCCTCCTCCTCCTCCTCCTCCTCCTCCTCCTCCTCCTCCTCCTCCTCCTCCTCCTCCTCCTCCTCCTCCTCCTCCTCCTCCTCCTCCTCTCCTCCCTCCTCCTCCTCCTGCTCCTTCTCCTCCTCCTCCTCCTCCTCCTCCTCCTCCTCCTCCTCCTCCTCCTCCTCCTCCCCTCCTCCTGCTCCTCCTCCTCCTCCCGGTGCCCTGCTCGGCGGCGAGCGGGGGGGAGGGAGGTGAGGAGGAGAAGGCCTTCTCGGAAGGCGGCGGGATGCTCAGAAGCCCTGTGGCCCTCTGAGCCGTGTTCTGTCTTCGGAGGAGGCTTGGAGGAACCCCTCCAGACGGCAAAGGGGGGCTCCTGAGCCTTCTGAGGAGGCTCACCCCCTCCTCGCTTGGCCCCCCCCCCCCGCGCGCCGCCGATCTGCAGCGGCTGCGCATCTGCCGAGAGCGCAATCGGGGGGTGCGCCCGCATCGTCCCGCGCGGCCGCTGGACAGCAGATGACGATTGGGGAGAGGAAAAGGGCGAGGAGGAGGAGGAGGAGGAGGAGGAGGAGGAGGAGTAGGAGGAGGAAGGGCGAGGAGGAGGAGGAGGAGGAGGAGGAGGAGGAGAGGTCGAGGGGGGGGGGAGTTCGAGGAGGAGGAGGAGGAAGAGGAAGGGCGAGGAGAGGGGCCAGGAGCTCGAGGAAGGGGAGAGGGCGAGGAGGAGAGGAGGAGAGCGGACGAGGGAGGCGCTGATGCAGGAAAGGGCGGGGGGAAGGGGCGAGGAAAAGAGGCGAGGAGGAGGAGGGCGAGGAGGAGGAGGAGGAAGAAGAGTGCGAGGGGAGGGGCGGAGGGGAGGGGTGGGGGGAGCGGGGGAGAGGAGGCGCGATTTCATTCCTCGCCGTGCTCATGGCGGAGCCGAGCCGCACGCCGCACGTTCGTCCCCGTCATCCGTCCCGCGTCGTCTGTCCTCCGTCGGGGGCAGGGGGGGGGGGGGGGGGGGCGGCAGTGCGGGCGAGGAGAGGGAGGCAGGGAGGAGGTGGGGCGGAGGGAGGAGGCGATGATTTGGAGGACAGCACAGGGAGGAAGGGACAACGGAGGAGGGAAGAGGATGGCGAGCAGGAGGAGGAGGAGGAGGAGAGGAGCAGGAGGAGGAGGAGGAGAAGGCAGGAGGCAGGAGTGCTGAGTGTTGGCGATCTTCGGATGGGAGGGGGGGGGGCGGGGGGCAATTCTGAAGCCCGCCGCTGGCCTTCACTTCCCCTGCGTGTCCCATGGCCTGCTCCCCCCATGCGGAGATTGATGCGCATGATGGTGTACCCGTCTCTCCTTCGACCTTGTCCCCCTTATGAAGCTCTCCTCCTTTGCTACGTCGATCCTATCCCCCCCGCCTTCTTTCGCTCTCATTCTTATCTGCCCATGCATCCTTTCTTCCTCATGCTCATCCTTTCCGTGCGCCTCCCTCCTCAATGTTGCGTCACCATCCCTCCATCATCCCTCCCCTCTCTCTCTCTCTCTCCCCCTCCCTCTCCCTTTATCCTCCTCCGTTCTTTCTCCCTTCTCTGCATGATGGTTACATCGAGCCGCTTCTGCTGGAAGAACCAGACACCCATGATGGTGATGTGGGACCAACGGGGGGGGCCAGGGAATCTGGGGCCTCAGCACAGCACATGCCAACTCGCAGGTTTCGATATTTCGCTTCAGTGTCGACCATGTTCCCGCCCGCAGAAGACGGTGGCTTAGTTTACTTTGGATCGTTTGCCTAGATATCCTGTCCTCTTGGCGCTTCCTTCTCCTCGTCCTCACCCTGCTCCTCCTCACGCCTCTTCCTCCTTGCGTGGCCAGTGTTTCTACGTTCGGTTTGGGCCAGGGTTTGAAGCAGACGATGCGCGTGACCGCCGCTGTGGGCAACCAAGAAAAGCCGCGCGCACTGCATCATCAACACGCGTACTCCGGATGGCATAATCATTGGGTGGCGGTGTGACAGACCTTCCGACGGAGCGCCCCCATCCCCTGCCCCGAACCGCCCCTCCATGAACGCAAACACCGTGCCCAGGCACTGGAGCTTCCAAATTGCCATCCCGCCCCAATCCTCCCCGACAGCACGCGCCCATCCCCCTCCCCCGAATGCAGGGGGGGCGATGCTTATGCCATCCGGAGTACAGTATGAGCTCGACCACAAGAAACCTTCCAAAGAAACCCAACCCTGAGACCCCAGGACATCCATTGATTCTCGGTGTGGGAGCGTCACAACTTCCACAGCAATGCCATCGAAAGCCAAGAAACCCAGGGCACCCTGGAGGCAACTGTACCCTCGTTCGGGGCATCCGCTTGCCCCTCGTCTCCCTTCTCTCCCGTCTCCTGCTCTTCTGAAGCGGCCAGGCTGCGCCCAAGAATGTCGAGGACACAGTTGTCGGACACTGGAAGATGTACATTGCCAGTGGCGGGCTGTTTTCCAATCCCAGGACTTTTCGAAGTTCGGGGTCCACGTCGGGGTGGTGTGGTGTATACTTGTTTGTCTCCGTTTCCCTGGGAGACACTGGAACATGTATACCCCAGGGCCCCGTGTACACCAGGACCCGCTTTCCTGTGCGAGTTGTCATGCGGGGCAAGACAAAAGCGTCGGTGTATGGAGTTCGGCTCCTTACCAAGGATGTCGAGGACGCAGTTGCGCTTCTTCGATACTGTCGGGGCGCTGAAGAAGGAACCCCTTTCGTTAGGGAGGAGCTCCGGTTCCTCAGCTGTGTCACGCTCTGCCTCAGGTTGTCCTGAGGTCTTCGATGGGACATCGACGTTTAACTCTTCGAAAAAGGGGCATCGTTTATGATCTAGGGTTGAGGAAGTCGATTCATTGGGAGGAAGCGTGCTGCCAAATAATTTCCAGATGTCTAAAGGATTATTACAAATCTCTTTTATACATGTTAGAACCATATTTGAGACATCTTCAGAACCTGTTTTCCACACTTTAAACACATATTTAATTTGATGATAGGATTGTGAGAGTGCCCATGGTTATGGCATCCGCAAATCTAGGGTTCTGTCGGGCGTGTCCCCCTACAGGGGGATTTTCGACGAACAAATAAAACAAATACCCAACAATACCCCAAGAAGGTCAAACCATACTAAAAAAATAGTCCCCAGACTGGTTTTGTATTTGTTTTGGATCATTTTCGGGGTATTTTGTATTTTCGTCGAAAATCCCCCTGTAGGGGGACAGGCCCGACTTATCTAGGGTTCGTTAGGTCGACGCCCAGCCTGTGCGTTCCGGACACCGCCGCCGTCGTCGGGGCGAGAGCTGCTCGCCCGCTCGGGGCGTTGCTGCTCCCGGGGATTCCCTCGCGGCCCCGCGTGGCCCTCTCGGCCTCTGGGGTTAAGTTTATGTTCAATAATAGTCAAACATAGGCACAACAAATAGTATAAGGACTATGATTTGATTGTTTTTTAGCATGTGGGGAGTACTTTTTTTGCATTCCTAATTTTTCGCCCAAAATTCCCCTGTAGGGGGACACCCGTTGCACCCCTTCGTGGCCCCATCGCTGTCCTTCGTGGCCCCCTTGCAGCCCTTCGTGGCCCCCCCGCTGACCTTCGTGACCCCGTTGCAGCCCTTCGTGGCCCCCTCGCTGCCCTTCGCGGCCCCGTTGCAGCCCATCGTGGCCCCCTCGCTGCCCTTCGTGGCCCCGTTGCAGCCCTTCGTGGCCGCCTCGCTGCCCTTCACGGCCCCGTTGCACCCCTTCGTTGCCGTCTCACTGCCCTTCGTGGCCCCACATGTATGCCCTTCGTGGCCCCCGCTCGTTCGCGCTCTTCGTGGCCCCACATGCATGCCCTTCGTGGCCCCGCTGTCGCCGTTTCGTGGCCCCCTCGCTGCCCTTTTTGGCCCCGTTGCCGCCCTCAGTGGCCCCGTCTTTGCCCTCCGTGGCTCGAAATATATGTACGCCCCTTCGTGGCCCTGTTGCAGCCCTTCGTGGCCCCCTCGCTGTCCTACGTGGCCCAGTTGCTAACCTCAGTGGCCCCGTCGTTGCCTTCGGTGGCCCCGCATTATCTGCCCTTCGTGGCCCCCGCTCGTTCGCGCTCTTCGTGGCCCCATACGCACTCCCTTCGTGTCCCCGCTGTCGCCCTTCGTGGCCTACTTCGTGACCATGGTGGCCCCGCTGTCGTACTCTCTCTCTCTCTCTCTCGCTCTCGCTTTCGCTCGTCGTCGTCGCCGTCGTCGTCGTCGTCGTCGTCGACGTCGTCGTCGTCGTCGTCGACGTCGTCGTCGTGGTCGGTCCCCTGTCTGTCCCTCTTGGGGTCGGGTTGCCGCCGATCAGCGCTGCCGCTGGCCAGGCCGACGGTCCGCGGCCGCCCCGCCGCTTGCCGGGGCCCGGCCTGCAGGGAAGAAAGGTATACCCCCCAAAAGGGGTACGATCGAAGAAGAAGAGGGCGGGTATCGAGGGTTAGGGAAATCTGCGTTAACGGACACTCGAGCAGATACGAGCGAACAGTCTTAAAATGATTGTTGTTGTTTTTTGTTTGGTTGTTTGTTGTTGTTGTTGGTGTTGGTGTTGGTGTTGGTGTTGTTGCTGTTGCTGTTGCTGTTGCTGTTGTTGTTGCTGTTGTTGTTGTTGTTGGTGGTGCGGTTGTTGTTGTTGGTGGTGTTGTCATTGTTAGTGTTGTTGTTGTTGGTGTTAGTGTTGTTGTTGCTGTTGTTGCTGATGGTGGTGTTGTTGTTGCTGTTGTTGGTGTTTGTGTTGGTGTTGTTGTTGTTGTTGTTGGTGTTGTTTTTGCTGCTGTTGTTGTTGGTTTTGTTGTTGTTGTTAGTGTTGTTGGTTGTTGTTGTTGTTGTTGTTGTTGTTGTTGTTGTGGTTGTTGTTGTTGTTGGTTGTTGTTGTTGTTGGTTGTTGTTGGTTGTTGTTGGTTGTTGTTGTTGTTGTTGCTGCTGCTGCTGCTGCTGCTGTTGCTGCTGTTGTTGTTGTTGTTGTTGTTGTTGTTGTTGTTGTTGGTGTTGTTGTTGTTGTTGTTGTTGTTGTTGTTGTTGTTCGGGTCCGTGGTTCGTTGTTCGTTGTTCGTTGTTTGGCGTGGTAGTCGTCTTTCCACCCCGAGACCCACCCCGCGACCCACCCCGCGACCCACCCCGCGACCCACCCCGCGACCCACCCCGCGACCCACCCCGCGACCCACCCCGCGACCCAACCGTAATTCGCCCCACGACCCACCCGCGACCCGCCCGCGACCCGCCCGCGACCGCCCCCGCGCCCGCCCCCCTCCCTCTGATCCGCAACTGCGGGGTGCTGCACCGCACCCATCTTGCCCGCCGAGGTCCTCGAAGACCGATCCATCCGGCGGCGGTGGTGGAGTAATCCACATTGGCATCGCTCGGACGTGTGCTTCTTTCTTTCGGCGAGGGCCACCGAGGAGCATCCTTGATCATTTGGCGAGAAAAAATACGCACGAAACCGAAAAACACAGGGAATGGACGTCCGAGCGATGGCCAGCCACTGGGTGGTCGCCGGTTCCTGTGTGAGGGTCTGCTCTTTCGCTTCCTGCCGTTTATCGGTGCCCTGCCCGCGCCCGCCTTCCTCGCCTCTCCTCTGGCCGCCCCCCCCGGACCTGGGAGTTCCAGGAGGAGTTCCCGCCCCTCGTCCCCCCCTCGCCCCGCAGCCCCTCCTCCGGCCCTTCTCTTGCCGTAGTCCCTCATTCCCCTCCTCCTTCATGGCCCACCCTGGGCATCTCCTCGCCCCCCGCGCCCCTCCCCGGCCCTCCCACCGCTACTCTTCCTTCTTCTCGTGCCCCTCCCCCCCACCAAGGTACTTCCTCTCTTCCTTCCGTGCCCCCGCTCCCTTCCCACCCCCCTCCACCTCCCCCCTCCTCCTCCTCCTCCTCCTCTCCCTGCTTCTTCCTCCCCCTTCCGCCACGCTCTCCGCCCCCACTCCTGTTTCCATTCGTCCCCTGCACTCCTCCCTCATCTTCCCCCCTGCCATCCCTCTCCCCCCGCGCCAGAGGCCCTTTCCTGCACGTGTGCACCACCCACCTGCAGAGCACGTACAACGAGGACCCACCCCCCGCCGCGGCTCTCTCCGAGCTCGCGCCGGGAGGGCGGACGCAGTGCTGTCGTCCGAGACGAGAACGAGTCAGGAAGGAGGAAGGGGGGAGGGTGGAGGTGGGGGGGGAGGGAGAGAGGCGAGCTGCAACCGATGATACCATGGTTGCGCCTGTGCTCTGGATTCCCGCCGCTCCTGGTCTCGCCAATACTTTCTGCCTTTCGTCTTGGTGGCGCCCTGTCACCACGGGCTCATCGATGGCATAGCGAAGCAGAGTTGGAGGGAAGATGACGGAACGGGGAGTGGACGAATGGGAGGATGCGTGAGGGAGGGAGGGAGGGAAGAGGGAATGAGGAGATGATGGAAGGAGGATGAGCAGTAGCAACAGTAGGAGCAGGATAAGCAACAGGATGAGCGACTGGGGAAGAAGGGCGTGGGAGGAGGACGAGGATCATGGCAAGCTGCAGGAAGGACGATGAGACGGGGGCAGGTGGAGGGATGAGGAGAGACACATATATATATATATATATATATATATATATATATATATTATATATATATATGAATAACACAACAGAAACAACAAGAGAGAGAGAGGCTGTCAAAGCGGCAGAGAGATAGGCGAGATAGGGAAAGGGAGAGGGAGAAGGGAGAGGGAGAAGGGGGAGGGAGAGGGAGAGGAATGGGAAGACGGAGAGGGGGATGAGGAGGGAAAGGGGGAGGGGAGGGAGAGATGGGAGGGGGGAGAGAGAGAGAGAGAGAGAGAGAGAACGAGAGAGAGATCTCTCTCGAACTCCCTCTCTCTCTCGTCCTTTCTCCCCTTCATAAGTATGCCTATATATAGAGATATGTGAACATGCACTTGCATATGTGTATATATATACTCTTATGTGCCCGTGCGTAGATGTGTGCACTGCAGTAATATATATATATATATATATATATATATATATATGTATATATGTACACACTGCATACATACATATCTGTGTACCGATAGGTCGATACTGCAGTACCACCGTCTTGCTCCTCTTGCTCGTCCTCCTCGTCCTCCTCGTCTCTCTCCTTCTCCGCCTGCTCCGCCTCCTCCTGCTCCCGCTTCTCCTCCTCGCCCTCCTCGTTCCTCCTTCCTTCTCCTCGTCGGCGCCCGCGTCGCGGGTCACCATCGAGTAGTTTCCCACTAGGTTTCGCTGTGCCGGATACTGTTGGGGGGGGGGGTATTTGTCTCCCAGGGACAACATGCTTCCTGGGCACGTTTGTAGGAGGATTTTAAGATAGATCGGCACAGTCTTTGTCGAAGGCGTTGCCCGCAATCTACTGCTCGTAGTCGTAGCCGTAGCCGCAGCCGTGGTCGCAACGTGGTACTAGTCGTAATCGTAATCGTCGTCGTAGTCGTCGTCGTCGTTATTGTGCGGCGGGTGCCGCGGAGAAATATTTTGCTTCCATTAGTGATGGGACCCAAGTCCGTCAATAAGGTCCCCGAACTTATATTTAGGTTCCATAATCCTGGGGCTTATAATCATCTATAGCGGTTATGGTGATAAAGTCGGAATTGACATGCAAACATTACAGAGGCAATGGCATCCACAATCTACACGAAGGGTGCGCCGATAATACGCACTGAGCGTTGCGGCGCCACATGCCCATTCCTGCAGTAGGGACAGCCTTCGCTGTAGTGGCGCTCGTCCGTTCCAGGCAAGTGTCTGACGGGCCAAGAGTCGAAATCAATCCGTGTCAGATCTTTCCAGGACGCTCTCAGAGCGTCCAAGAGCGCTCTGAAACGGCCGCGGCGCCCGATCAGTCCTCCTAACCCGTCTCGCGGACTGGGGGGGGGGCATGTTCACGTGCGCGGTTGAGCGCGTACTTTCTTCGTGGGTTCCCTACGAAAGAGGTCCAGGCATTGCGGGAGCGCGCGCATCGAACAAGCTGGAGCGGCCCGAGGTCTGGGCCCTCGCTGCCGCTCTGCCCGTGCAGTGGCGGGGGCATCATGGGCGCACACGAGGCGGCCAAGCGGGGTTGGGTGGCTGCCCCGCGCGAGCGCGCTCCATTGCTCGCAGAACGCCTACTCGCAAACGTCCGAAACATAATGTCAAGTCGGGCCTGTCCCCCTACAGGGGGATTTTCGACGAGAAAAACAAGCAACAACATAGTCAAACCATAGTCCAAAAATGGTCATTGCACTATTTTTTTCAAGTATTTGTTGACCTTCTTGGGGTATTTGTTCGTCGAAAATCCCCCTGTAGGGGCACAGGCCCGACTTAAACATAATGCCACCTTCCTATGTAATGGATCTCAAGTCCCCACAGCCCATCCAGGCCATCTGCGAGTAGTTACGGTGCGAGTGGTGGAGCGCGCTTGTCCACTTCCCCGCTACGCGTGCGACCCGAGAGAACGGGCAGCGGACTTCAGAGGAGGAATAGGGTACCCATGCGGGTCCTCTTCGCTTCGTTTCTTTTTTATGGGCCTCTTGTGAGGCCCTCGTCGCCACCGCTTAATTCGCCTCGAAGTTCTTGTCAGAACCACCCCAGTAGCGGTCCGGGGAGTAGGAGGATCGGTACCTTCGGTGTCCCGTCCGCCTTGAGCTCCGCCGCAAGAATGGAAACACACCCTCCAGTGGATTGTTCGTGTGCCTCAGGGGAGGGTGGCGGTGTATAAATCACCACTAAGAGCAGGCGATTTCATACACCGCCACCCTCCCCGAAGGTACAAGCAAATTTCGCCGGCGTTTCCAATGCCGACAGCTGGTGTTGTTGGACAGGGAAGCCTTTACATCCAATGGACAGGGCACGCTGCGACACAGACAGCGAATCTATGCACTGGAACTGTTGTTGGTCTGCGTCCCCAGTCTTTCCGTTCCCATTCCCAGACCCCCGTCGACCCCGAGAGGTCTCGACCCATTCCCCTGAATCTGTGTTTCATCCTCAGTCGTTTTGCTGACAGTCCTTGGGCACGGCAAATGCCCCCGGAGGACGAAAATAACGATCCCCCAAGCCGCCGTGATTATTCCGTACCTGTTTCGGCCGTACAGTTTCGAGGTTGTCACCCGTCCGTTGCGCAGTCTACCGTCTGAGTGAGGCAGGCCCGAGCTTGCATGTGAGCCATGTACAGAGAGGTCTTTCTTGATTACAGTCGGGGCGCTGAACAAGGAACCATTTCCGTTGGGGAGGGGCTCCGTGTTCCTTCGTTGTTTCGCAGCTTGCCTTAGGTTGTCCGTAGGTTGTCGATGGGGAATCGAAGTTCAATGTATGGAAAACAGGGGCCTCATTCCTTATTTAGAGTTCCTTAGGTCAGCGCCCCTACTGTATTCTTGAGCCCTGCCCGCTCCAGACTGCTGGCGGTGGTTTGTGCACGCGGAGGTCTTCGCGCGGCTCTCTGGGTGGCCGGCGAGTTGTGTCGGACGGAACCAGGACGAGGAGAAGTCAGGTCCAGAGCCTTCCGGAACGCTCGCACAGCCTTCCAACATTCGGTATCGCTCGGACATGTGCACTTATTCCCGGCGGGGGTTATGAAGGAGCATCCTGGATCATCCTGCGAAAAAGCCACGCACGAAACTGAAACAAGCGCAGGGAATGGACGTCCGAGCGACGGGGAGAACACGCCCTGAGAAGGCCGCGCCGCCCGAGCCATTTTCCAGAGCCGCCGAAAACCTCAGAGATGCGCGATGCAGCCTCGCCCGAGTGCATCCTCGTCCTTCAAGAGGAAATACACAGACACAAGTAATCGTCGATTCCCCAGAAAATGTGGAAACTATAGGAAGTGCGGGGGGAAGACAGACACCCAGAACATATGGGAAAATATGGGGAATCTGGTGATTGTAATGGCCTCCGGCCAGTGCCGCCGATCCGGGACGCTCCGAATGATGATGATGATGATGATGATGATGATGATGATGATGAGATGATGATGATGATGATGATGATGATGATGATGATGATGATGATGATGATGATGATGATGTTGATGTTGATGATGATGATGATACGATGATATGGTGATGATGATGATGATGAGTTGATGAGATGGTGATGATGATGATACTGAGATGGTGAGGTGGTGATGATGATGCTGATGATGATGAGATGAGCCGATGGTGATTCTGATGGTGGTGATGATGATGAGATTGTGGTGATGATGATGACGATTATGATAATGCTGATGGTGATGTGACGATGATGATGGTGAGCTGATCAGATGGTGATGATGATGATGAGATGATGAGATGGTGGTGATGTTGATGACATGGTGATGATGCTGCTGATGATGATCATGGTGATGTGACGATGCTGATGGTGATGAGATGATGAGATGGTGATGATGATGATGATGGTGATCTGATGAGATGATGAGGTGGTTGAGATGGTGATGATGATGATGCTGATGCTGCTGATGATGATGATGATGATGATGATGATGATGGTGGTGGTGGGGGTGGTGATGATGATGATGATGATGATGATGATGATGATGATGATGATGATGATGATGATGATGATGGTGATGTGACGATGGTGATGGTGATGGTGATGGTGATGGAGATGGTGATGATCCCGGCCTCCCTTCCCCACCTCCCCTCCTCTCTCATGTCCCCCTCCCCCTCTCTCCTGTCCCCCCCCCCGCCCCTTCTCTCTCCTGCCCCCCCCCCTCTGTCCCCCCCCTCTCTCTCCTGTCCCCTTCCTCTGTCCCCCCCTCTGTCCCCCCCCTCTGTCCCCCCCCCCCTCTGTCCCCCCCCCTCTGTCCCCCCCCCTCCCCCCCTCTCTCCCTGTCCCCCCCCCTCTCTCCTGTCCTCCCCCCCCTCCCCTCCCTTTCCCCCTCCCCTCCCCCTCCCCCTCCACAATTACTCAATATGAATACTACTCTCCCTCTTCCCCCGATGGCGGCCTGAAAGTAGCCGACCCCCCCCCCCCGCGTACTGTTTTTTACACACAGGATTCCCGGGAGTTGGGTTTTCGCCTGCGTTTTTTTTCAAAATGCTGCTCTCGCTGAGGCGCCGGCCTCATTTCTGCTCCCGAATCGTTCCGAATCGTGCTCCCGCTGCAGCGTGGGCCTCATTTTCGGATCGGTGTTTGGCCTCCGTCGTTCAGGATGGCGTTCTCGCCCCAGCGCGGGCCTCTTTCTCGCGCGCCCATCCGCCCGCCACCACCGCGCCGCACCACCACCACCACCACCACCACCACCACCACCACCACCACCACACCACCACGCACACACGCACGCACGCACGCACGCGCACCACCACCCACTACGCACGCGCGCGCGGAGCCACAGGTCCGCTACGACACGCGTCCGCGGACAGAGAAAATCAGCGCCATGGTAAGGGATGGGAGGGAGGGGTAGGACGTCAGATATGACGCGAGCGCACCTAGCTTGTCTCCCCCCCCTCCCCCCCTCCCCCCCTCTCTCATGTCCCCCCCCCCCCCTCCTCTCTCCTGTCTCCCCCCCCCTCCTCTCCTTTCTCCCTTTCCCCCGCCCCCTCTCTCCTGTCCCCCCCCTCCTCTCTCCTGCCCCCCCCCCCCTCTCCCCCCCCCCTCTCCCCACCCCTCTCTCCCCCTTTTCCCCCCCCCTCGCGTGTTAATTCTTTCGTCGTTGGCGTCCCCCCCCCTCCTTGCAGAGCGGCGAACCTTGAGCGAGCCCCCCCCCTCTCTTTCCCTCCTCGCTCGCGTGTCAATTCTTTCGTCGGTTTTCGTCTTTTGCGTCCCCCCCCCGACCCCCCCCCCCTTCAGAGCGAAGCTTGATCGAGCTCAAGCCCACGCTTTCAGAAACTCGCACGCCGGATCGGCGGATTTGCGTGCATTTCTTTGTGTGTCCCAGGTTCCCTTCAGTCTTGGCTGCGTCTCCTGGCGGGCAGCGCCGCGGCGCAGGAGACCTTCCGGCAGTCGAGCAGGGTGCGGCGCTCCCAGATCGGCCAGCTGGTGCACTTCCTGCGGCAGGCGGCGCCCCCCGGCGGAGCGCGCGCGGCCCGGGCCCGACGCGCGCGGCCGTGCCCAGAGTGACATGGGGCCTGTCCTCTGCACGAGCGAAATGGGCACGGAAAGAATGGGTACAATGCCCAACAGCGGATCTGGTCATTTCGAACAGGACTCGCTGTCCACGCCGCCGCGGCCTGTGTCCATTCGAGACAGAAGGCCGCCTGCCCAACAGCGGCCGCTGTTGGTTTGGGACAACATTTGTTATTGGGCATTGTGCCTATTTTTTCCGTACCCATTTCGAGCGCCCAAATGTCCGTCTACAGAAGGAAGATTCAGAAATACTTCGGGGGGGTGGATCGACCTCATACCCTGACACGCCGATTCGCGAATTGGCCGTTCTCCGTTCGCGAGAGGGCGTCGCGGCCGTTATTGTTTGTGGGTCCAGGTCCGTCGGTTTCGGTCCCAGGCCGTTTTTCACTAAGGGGAGGTTTGCTAAAGGGAGGTTCGTCCACCGCCGAATAGTCAAACAACAAGTTATGGGGACGAATGTTTAAGTATGTTTGATGTGTTTGATTTATGTTTGGGCAATAGTTTATTCTTCGTTGGAAATTCGCCTGTAGGAGGACACGCCCTACCTGGGCACAGAGCCCCAGGGCCCGACCCACCCGGCCGGCCGTGCCGTGCGGCAGCGAGTCATGGGAGCCTTGTTAGCCCTCCGTCGACACAGGACGCAAGTTCAATCGGTACTAAGTTCGGCGGCGAGCCCTGGGGGGGAAGTGAGCAGGATGAGGCCTTCTCCGAAGGCTCGGAAGTTTCCTGGCCGTCTGAGCCTCCTGAGATGTTTTCTGAGCCTTCCCCGAAGACGCTGAGAACTTCTCAGGAGGCGCGAGGGTTTCTGCTAAGCCCCGCCGCCTTCTGATCATGCTTTCTCCTTCCCCCTCGCTCGCCGCCCAGCAGTCACGCGAGCCGTGCTGACCCTCGCAGCGCCGTCTTTAGAGCGCACTGGCGCTGATTAGCGCCGACTTAGCGAGCAGCGTCGACTTAGCATCGACTCAGCGTCGCCTAGCATCGATTCAGCGTAGAGTAGCGTCGATTCGCAAGAGTTGACAAGATGGTACGGGATGCATGGCATTTCCGCTCTCCCCCTCTCCGCCGCCTTTTCAAGCAATGCTGGGCCGAGAAGGCGTGCAAGGGAGTCCCGGCTTGGGTGCAGTCAAGATCCTATTTCGAGCCTCATCACGCCCCCCTCCCCTCTCCATGCACATGAAAAGGCAGACTGCTTTTACTTCAGCTTTTAGAATGCATTCGCGTGCGCTAGCGATTCAGGTAATCGATGACAAAGCGCCAATTGAGCGTCGCTTGAGAGTGCGTCGAGTAACGTCGGCCAACCTCGATTCGCATGAGCCATCAAGACGGCATGGCAGGCTCCCATGAGTTGCCACCGAATCTTGGGGCTGTGAAAAAACACGACGGGCGGGTTTTCGTTTTTGTGTGTCTTTCTGTCTGTCAAGCAGAGAAGCCCAGCCCCCCTGCGTTTCAAAATATCAATCAGGGACGGTCCAAGATTTCCCAGATTTGTCAGATTTCGTGTCGCTCCCAACGGGCTCCAGAATTATGGCCGCCTGGTGCTCTGGAAATCATGGAACGTGTCTTGATCCATTCTTACAGTGGCATGATCATCGTCCCAGCGTCGTGAAACAAAAGCACGACGGGAGCTGCTGTGCTATTTTTAGCCCTTGGGTGCCCTTGCCATCCCTCGGGACTGCCAATCAACGATTCGGGATGAATCGGAGGAGGAGGAGGACGAGGAGGAGGAGAAGGAGGAAGAGGAGGAGGAAGAGGAAGAGGAGGAGGAGGAGGAGGAGGAGGAGAGGGATCCAGACCTCTGGGTGTCCACGTCGTGAGGAACTCAGGACGTCGGGTGTTTCGGTGGGCTGCTGCTGGTGCAGGCGCCGTGGCGGCTGCCGCCGTCGTCGCGGCCGCCGCCGCCAGTGCTGGAGCTGCCGCTGGTGCAGCTTCTGCTCATGTGCGGCTGCTGGTGATCCATCTCCCCCGTCCTCGCCTGCCTTCCTCCTCCTCCTTCTCCTCCTCCTCCTCCTCCTCCTCCTCTCCTCTCCCCTTTCCCCACCTCCTCCTCCTCCTCCTCCTCCTCCTCCTCCTCCTCCTGTTGATGCGCGTCGCAGGTTTGGCTTCTACCATGCTGGGCCGCGCTCGGCCTGGCTGGCTTCGGCTGCAAATCCTGGGGGGCGTTCGTTTACCCTCGCAGGTCCGTCTCTAGAGTGCAGTTGCGCGTCGCAGGTTTGGCTTCTACCATGCTGGGCCGCGCTCGGCCTGGCTGGCTTCGGCTGCAAATCCTGGGGGGCGTTCGTTTACCCTCGCAGGTCCGTCTCTAGAGTGCAGTTGCGTCGATTGGCGTATGATAACTGGTGAGATAGCGAGCTACCGTCAATGATTGTCGATTCGTATGTACTCAGCGTCGATCAGCATCGACCGGCGTTGGTGAGCGTCGAATCGCAAGAGCCAACATGATGGTATGGGAGTATCCCATGAGTTGCAGCAGAAGTTGGCTGGTTTCCGAATACTGCGGGACCTTCCACCCTTGGCGTGGGCAGTGCGCCAGAGGCTGGGAGATGCAGCGGGAGCTGCGCGCTCCTTCACGGGACTTGGCGGACAGTTTCGCGCAGCCGTTCGCCGAGGAGCCCAAGGAGGCCAACGGGGAAGCGAGCGGCGTTGGTAGTTATCGCGAACAAACGAACCCCTAACATCAAAGACGCGATGAAGACGTGGCCTCACTGAGGTCCCCGTCTTTGACGGGCGCAGCCCGTAAATTGATTCTCGCGAGGTAGGCTTACTGAACTGAACTGAATTGAACCACTATAGCAGTTAGATGGTACTTTTATTTTCGGGGGTGAGGATATGTTGGCGGCAGTTTCAAGTTGGATTCCAGCCGGTTAGGATATTTCGGGAGGCCGTTTTGAGCAAGAGGGTGAGGATATTTGGGGGGGAGTTTTCCGCGACGGTCGGGGCCAGGGAGGGTGAGGATAATTGGGCGGCAGTGTGATGTTTGACGCCAGCGGGAGAGGGTACTTTGGGAGGCAGTTTTAAGCCAGCGAGGGAGGATATTTGGGAGGGCTAGTTTTCCGCCAGGGGCGGTGAGGATCTTTCGGCTGCAGTTGTAGGCCAGGGAGGGTGAGGATATTTGAAAGAGCGTGTTCTACCGCTGCTGGCGGAAAACCGGGGGGGGTCACTACCGGTTCGAACCCCTCCCCCCCCCCTCCGGAAAACCGGGGGGGGTCACTACCGGTTCGAACCCCTCCCCCCCCCCCCAGTTCATCATGAAAAGGGGGGGGGTCACTACCGGTTCGAACCCCCCCCCCCCTCGAAAACCGAGTGGGGGTGCGGACAGTGGTGGGGACGGTGTTGGTGGGGACGGTTTTCCGGATCCGCAGGAGGGAGGGGGGGGGGGGGGGTTCGAACCGGTAGTGACCCCCCTTCGGTTTTCGAGGGGGAGGGGGGGGAGGGGGGGGGGGAGGGGTTAGGGGAGGGGGGGTTTTGCCGGGGGGAAGGGGGGGGGGTCCAGCAAGGAGGGGGGATTTTCGGAGGGGGTGGGGGGAGACCCCCGGGCTCCGGAGGAAAAGGTTGGCAATTTTCCACAGTAAAGCGGATATTTGGGCGGCAGTTTTAAGTCTGATTCCACAGGGTGAGCATAGTTCGGAAGGCAGTCTTAAGCCAGCGGAGGAGGATATGTTGGAGGGCCAGGTTTCCGCCAGGTGCGGTGAGGATGTTGCGGGTGCAGCGTTAGGCCAGGGAGGGTGAGGATACTTTACGGGCGCAGCCCATAATTCGATCTTCGCGAGGTAGAAAGACATAATCAATTGAAGAAGATGGCAGTTTTATTTCTGTGGGTGAGGATATTTCGGTGGCTGTTTTAAGCCAGCGGGTGAGGATATGTCGGTGGCAGTTTTAAGTCAGCGCATGAGGATAGTTCGGTGGCAGTTTTAAGTCAGCGGGTGAGGACATTTCGGTGGCAGTGATGAGCTAGAGGGTGAGGAAGGATCTTTCGGTGGCAGTTTTGAGCCAGCAGGTGAGGATATGTCGGTGCCAGTTTGAAGCCCGCGGGTGAGGATATCTCGGAGGCAGTTTTAAGCCAGCGGCTGAGCATATCTCGGTGGCAGTTTTAAGCCAGTTGGTGAGCATATTTCGGTGGCAGTTTTCAGCCAGTTGGTGAGGATATTTCGGTGGCAGTGTTAAGTCAGCGGGTGAGGATATTTTGGTGGCAGTTCTAAGTCAGCGGGTGAGGATATTTCGGTGGCAGTGTTCAGTTAGAGTGTGAGGATATTTCGGTGGCTGTTTTAAGCCAGCGGGTGAGGAGTTGTCGGTGGAAGTTTCAAGCCAGCGGGTGAGGATATTTCGGTGGCAGGTTTAAGCCAGCGGGTGAGGATATTTCGGTGTCAGTTTGATTTCCGAAGGTGGCGATACCTCGGTGGCATTTTTAAGCCAGCGGGTGGGGATATGTCGGTGCCAGTCTGAAGCCCGCGGATGGGGATATTTCGGTGGCAGGTTTAAGCCAGCGGGTGGGCATATTTCGGTGGCAGTTTTCAGCCAGCTGGTGAGGATATTTCGGTGGCAGTTTTAGGCCAGCGGGTGAGGATATGTCGGTGGCAGTCTTAAGCCAGCGGGTGAGGATATTTCGGTGGCATTTTAAGCTCGTGGGTGAGGATATTTCGGTGGCAGTTTTAAGACAGGTGGTGAGGATATTTAGGTGGCAGTTCTACTTCAGCGGGTGGGCATATTTTTTGGTGGCAGTTGTAAGGCAGCGTGTGAGGATATTTCGGTGGCAGTTTTGAGCCAGCGGGTGAGGATAGTTTGGTGGTAGTTTTTAAGCTAGCTGGGGAGGAGAAGGAGGAGGGAGGAACCGAGAAGAGCTGTTCTCGGCACGGGCATCCAGGCGCCACGCGATGCGTCATTCGCTTGGTTGGCCCAGCCGACGGCTACGCATCCAGCGCGGTGCTGCGCCCGCACATATGATCGCCCCTTGGCGTGGGGCTGGCGGGGGGCCCAGGGGCGAGCCGTCCGGCGATTGCATTAGGGATGAAAGGCTGGACGGTTTGGCTCGACACATCTGCAGAAAGACCCCCTATCCCTCATGTCTTCTTGTCCTCCCAACCTGGGTCCCCTCCCAGAGGACGAGAGGTCCTCTTTTTGGTTGTTCCGGCTGGGCCGGGTGCGGTGCCGTTCCCCGCCGTCCAGCAGCCCTGCAGCCCGGGCAGCGCCATCTCCGGCCCCCGCGCCGGCCGGGTCGCGCCGGCCGCGGCCACGCCGCCGGAGCTCCACAAATGAGGGCCCGAGTGCCGCGCGGGGCCCGGGCCCGGAGCCGTGCCGGCCGTGCGGGCGGATGCTTTCTGGTGGGTACCAAAAAGGGAAGGAGGTCCACAGCGAAGAGAGGGTGGTGCAAAATACACCTCAGGCGATGCTCAAGAGAACCTAAAAATTTTCGGCCAGAGCCTCGATTATATTCTCAACGTTTCCATGTGCATCCTAAGGTTTTGATAGGAGTTCTGGGTTTCGATTCAGATTCTGAGATTCTGATTTTCTTAACCCATGATTTCTCAAGCATTTCGCAGGGTGTAGGCCTTGGTGCAAGCGATTTGTAGGGTTGCAATTGATTCGAGGCGTGCAGTGCCTTCCGGTGCGAAGACGTATTCCTGGGTCTTCGCGTGCACTACCGTTCTTGCGATCACATGCAACACAATCCTATGACGCAGTACGTTTGCAATGCCATTGCCCCAAACCTATTGCACCACCTCCTTTCAGCTGGACCCCACTTTGTGTCAACCAAATACGTTGGGCAGCGAAATCCGCGAGAAACAGTTGCAGGCGAACCCGGAAAGAGCGCGCCTCTGCGAGCACGGCGTTGCCGCGGATGGGGGGCAGGTACGTGGTGGAGGAGACCAATGAGTTGGGTCATGCCGCGATTGATGCGGTGGCATGCGCCGTGGCATGCGACCAGGTGGGTTGAAAAGCGAGATCACGAGCGCCCCGATTGCATTCGAGGATCATTTGTGAGCCTCAACGTTCAGGCCGTGGGAATTAGTGACGAAGGCGCCGCGGTGGCGCATGGAGTAGCGGTTGCGGTGGTGGGTAGTGCCGCAGTCCTTTGAGTTTGCTGCGCGGTTCTTGTTCTCGACGTTGCCAGTGTGCTCTGACCGCTCTGACCCCGCACAGTGAGTTACATGTGGTAGAGGTGCAGGCACAGGTTGTTCCACCCTTCGAGTCGCACGAGCGGTTCTGGTGGGCGCGGTTCTGGTGACCTTCGCGGCGGCCATACATAGTTACGTGGTCTAGACAGAGCTGCCAACCGTTAGGGCGGGCCTCGCCAGGGATGCTTTGTTTCCGTCCGCTCCTTCATCATCCTTACCATCTCCGCATCGCGCTCAACACTGCATCGTTATCTTTCTCGTGCTAGGTCTTTGTGTTCTCCCTCCTTCTCGTCCTTCCGCCCCCCCCTCCACATTATTTTGTTTGTTACGATTGTTATGCTTGTAGCAATGCTGACAACTACTAGTTCCCCACATCCACAGTGGGTTTCTTGCTTTCTTTGCGCACACACCCTGCATAGGAGTTTGTCCTTCTCCTACCCCATCTCTTCTTCACGATCACCATCACCATCATCAGCACCGTCATCATCGCACCACATCATCGCCGTTATCATCACCGTCGCAATGATTCGTCATCATCGCTAACACACACTTTCTCATGTGTGTGCGTCAGTGGAACACACATGCACACACACACACACCTTCCGCCTCATCATCAGTATCGGCACCATCGTCGGCATCCATCACTACCATCACCATCACCATCCAAAGTTTCGAAGTCATCGTGATTACACTATCACCATGATCACCACTTCCCCGTCATTATCTTTACCACCCATAGTATCATCATCATCATCATCATCATCATCATCATCATCATCATCATCATCAGCATCGCCATCATCACCACCATAGTCATCATCATCACCGTCAGCACCATCACCATCGCCAACATCCTTAGCAGCATCATCACCAGCAACAGCATCGTCATTATCATCATTATCGTCATCATCAGCATCATTGCCATCACCATCATCATCATCATCATCATCATCATCATCAGCATCATCATCATCATCCCCATAGTCATTATCATCAGCATCGTCATCATCATCATGTTCATAAGCCTCAACATCATCCTCATCATCATCAGCATCGTTATCATCACCACCATCATCATCATACACATGCATTGATCTCAGGACGTCTCAGGTGGGAGCCTCGTCTGTGAGTGGACGGCGAGGAAATCTCAGACAGGAGCTCCCTCCCTACGGGGCCCGCAGCTCCTGTCATGAGTCCGAGCGGAACATCGGCGTCATGCTATGTATATTCATGTCTGAAGTCCTGAGTCCTGAGTGTGGCGGAAGTCTCGGGCGCGAGCCCTCGTCTGCCAGGGCTGGTCAAGAAGTCTTAGGCGGGAGCCCTTTCCTGATGGGTTCCGCAGCCCATGCTAAGTGATCTCAGCGGCTCATCGGAAACTGTCTCCGTCGTCATTTTCGGGCGCCTCCGTCCTAAATCTGACGGACGTGTCGAGCGGGTGCTTCATCTGTGAGTGCATTGCGCGGGAGTCTCAGGCGGGACTTATCTCCGAATGTGTCCCGCAGCCCATATTATTAATCCGAGGGTCATCGGAAACGAACGGTTGTCGTCATTCTTGGGCGTGTCAATCTTGAGCATGGCGGGGATCTCGAGCGCGAGCTTCGTTCGTAAATAACTTGCGCGGACGTCTCAGGCGGGAGCCTTCTCTTTCTGGGTCCCGCAGCCCATGTTATTAATCCGAGCGGGCCACCGTAGCCTTGCAATTGTCGTCATTACTGGGTCTGCTTGTCCTGGGTATGGCGGAAGTATCGAACGGGAGCCTCGACTGTGAATGAATGTCGAGAAAGTCTTTGGTGGGAGCGACGTCCGTGATTGAATGGCGAGGAAGTCTTAGGCGGGAGGTCCCTCCGTATGGGGCTCGCTCCGAACGGGCCATCGGAATCTTGTAGCCGTCGTCGTGTCTGGTTTCTTTTAAACTTGGCGGGAGTCTCGGGCGGGAACCCCATCTGTGGGCGACTGGCGAGGCAGCGCGTGCGGAACATGCTGTTTTTGCGGCCGCCCACGCCAGGGTTCCTGAAACGCTGGCTGCCGGATTCCCTGCTGAAACACGACAAGATAGTGGGGAACTCCAGGGCTGAGGCGGAGCCGTTCGCGGCACGTCTGAGCTTTGCGCTGCTTCCGCTTGGGCGCGGCTCCGACTAGATTGACGCCTGTTGCGTTGTCCCAGCTGCATGCTCCTGCCTTGCAGTGGTTGGTGGTGTTGTCCCAACGGCTTGGTTCACGGGGTCCTGGTTCTTTTCAGCGGCTTCGCAATCTGGCCGTGCTGTGCCTTTGCAAAAGGGACGGGGGAGGAGGTGGATGGGGAGAAGAGGCGGGAAGACGAGGAGGAGGAGGCTGAGCAAGAGGCGAACCTAGGGCTCCGCCGAGGCGAAGATGAGAAGGGCGGATCAGGAAATGGGAAGAGAGCGTATGCATTCGCAAGGGCGACAATGAGGACTGCCTCCAGATTAATCTGGGTGGTTCCCATGCGGGGTCTTTTCCATCGGAGCGAATCCTATCCCCTGTTGCTCTTTAGCTTCCCCTTGTCTACAAGATTCCGTCCCCGCCCCCCCCGCTGCCCAGGTTCGTTTCCAACTTCGTTCCTGTTCTGTCCCGTCCCTCCTTCCCATCACATGTATTTTTTCCCCTTCTCGCTTGTTTCATCATACCCCACTCCCCTATCTCCTCAGACCACACTCCCCGTTGGCCTCTCATCCCTGCCCCCCTCCTATCGTGTTTTGTCTTCCCCTTTTTCCCGAGACCTGTCTTCCTCTATCCTCCGTCCCTCCTCCCCCCTCTCTTGTGTCCCTCCTCCCCGTCCCCTCTTGCGCTCACCCATCATCCTTCCATGCGCCTCAGTCACGTTGCCCTCCTACCCCAGCTTCTCTTCATTCGTTCGCTCCCCATCATCCTCATCGTCGTCTTCGCTCGCCGCCAGTCTTTTTTTTCATCGTTGTGCCACCGCTTCGTCACAAAAGGCTTCCTTGCGGAGATCCCATGGCTGACGACTGCCAGCTTCGAGCCTCGTCGTCGCCCGCCGTCGTCCTCCCCATCGGGCCACCTCCTCCCCTTGCGAATACCCCGTGGTGGGCGGGCGACAGCGCTTTCAGCCCTCAGGCCGCGAGGCCCCTTAGTGCCCAGGGCGCCGTGGCCGAGGGAAGCGCGTGCGCGCGCGCGCTCGATCGGGCTGCTGGGAAGTAGCGCCCACGATGGACCCGCCATCCGCCGCTTCCGCGCGCCGGGGGCAGAGCGACGGGGGTCCGAGGCGGCAGCGGCGGCGGCGTGCGTGCGCCCGCGCCCTCGCGTTCGCTCTCGGCGCCCCCGCGTGCGCGGGCCGCGCCCGCCGCGCGCCGGCGGCAGTGCCCACCGCCGCTGCGCGGGGCCCGCCGCCGGGGGGCGCCGGCGCGGGCTCGCCGCGGGGCGACGGCCGCAGGCTGCGGCGCGGCGCTCGCGGCGCACCGCGCGGCGGCCGCCGCCGCGGGCTGCGGCGCGGAGCAGCCGCGCCTCGGGCCGGCCGCGGCGGCGAGGGCGGCGGCCGCGGCGGCGGGCGGAGGGCGCCGCTGGCTGGTGGCCGCCGCGGCCGCGGCGGCGTGCTGGCGGCTGCGGGCGCGCCCTGCGCGAGGGGCGAAGCCCGCGTGCGGCAGCGTCGACGAGTGTCGGGAGCTCGGCGACAGGCGCCCACTGGCAACACAGGCCCACGAAGAGGTGGCCTGAGGACATGTCGAGGTTTGCGCGGGGTGTTTTTAGATCGTTCCTGGCTGAGGCCGTCTTGGTTTGATGCACCGGCCCCCTGTTATAGTAAAACCGTGCTGTTGGTTATTCGAGTGCTCTGTCGCTTTGCAAGCATGTCGAGGTTGCGCCCGGGTTGCCCTGGGCGGTCTCGACGCCTCAACCCTGAGGCGCGGAGCGCCCTTCGGGGGTGCCGCCGGAATCCACGCCAGTCGGGGGGCTGGTTGAGGCCAGCTGGGGCATATCGGGGGGCCAGTTGAGGCCAGCCGGGGCTACCTCGGGGGGTCTGCGCGCAGCCCGAGGCCTTGCCAGCCACCGCCATACGTCGGCGGCGAAAGAGTGGGGCAAGTGAAAAGGAGAAGGCCTTGTCCGAAAGCGGCGGGACTTCTCAGAAGCCCTCGCGTTAGAGGCTGTTGTGTTTTCGGGGAAGGACCCGGCAGAAGGCCTGGGGACTTCCGAGCCTTCTGAGAAGACCCACCCCTTCTCCTTTCCCCCCCGGGCGCGCCGCCTAAAATGGGCCTCTGCACGGTGGCGGGCTCGTTGCAGGAGGGCGGCGGGAAGGCGTCACCTTCCTGCAGCGATCTCGGGCTGGTTTTAATTCTTCACGCTATGCGTATCCCCGCTAGTTATTAGTCTCTCATGCTCGTTATTGTTCTTTGCTTTTCGCCATCCTCTTCCGTTGCGCTAATTTGGGTCGTTGCTCGTGTGCAATATCCTGGACGCCGCCTGACTTTTCCTGGCCGCGGTCGCGATCACAAAGTATCGCCACCAACCCATTCAGAAGCCCTGCCCACGAGAGCTGACGGTCAAAAGGGATGAAGGGACACATCTAGGGAAACAAAGCGAGCAACCAGGATGAACCGAGAAATCTCAGGGAGCAAGGAGGTGGCCTTGGAAGTCCTCTTCGGGCCATCCCTGGGGGCCGCGTGGGGGCGAGGGGAAGAGGTGGAGGAAGAGGTGGAGGGACCCAAAGAGTGTGATCCCTGTTTTCTTTTCTCGTCTGTCCGGCTAGCTGGGCAATGATGGGGGGAGAGCGGTGGTGGTGGTGAGGAGCTGGAGGAGGAGAAGGGTAAAAAGGGGAAGAAGGAGGACGAGGATCAGGAGGGGGTGGCACGAGGGATCAAATGAGGTTAATCCCGGTTGTATGTTCTCGTCTGCCTGGGTAGCTGGGCAATGATGGCGGGACAGCGGTGGTGGTGGTGAGGAGGGGGAGGAGTAGATAGACGTTTAAAAAGGGGGAGGAGGTGGACGAGGATCAGGAGAGTGAACAGGGGGAGGAGGAGGAGGAGGAGGAGGAGGAGGAGGAGGAGGAAGAGGAGGAGGAGGGGGAGGTGGAGGGGGAGGAGGAAGATGAGGGATCAAACTATTGTGATCCTGCTTTTACTTTCATCGTCTTCCTGGCTGACAGGGCAATGATGGGGGGAGAGCGGTGATGGTGGCTAGGAGGAGCATGAGGCGAAGGGTCAGAAGGGGGAGGAGAAGGAGGACGAGGAGGAGGAGGAGGACGAGTGATGACAAACATGCGATCTCGGCTTCATTCTCCTCGTATGTCAGGCTAGCCGGGCAGTGGTGATGGGGGCGGAGCGGTTGTAGTGAGGAGGGGGTGGAGATGGTTAATAAGGGGTTAGTAGTGGGATCTCTCAGCCATCAGCTGGTGCTGCTGCTGCTGCTGGTGCTGCTGATGTTGTTGCTGCCTCTGCTGGTGCTGCGGTTGGTGCCCTGGAAGGCCTGTTGGGGCCATCTAGGAGAGCATCGATCAAAAGATGGGCGGTCCTCGATTTCGGCCCCCTCCCAGGATCCCTCGTCATCGCCTCTTGGTGCTCTCCTGGGGCTCTTTGGGAGGGTATTGGAGCTCTCTCGGAGCTCGTCTAGAGGTCTTAGTCGCAGTAGCCCTCGTAGTCGCAGTCGCACTCGAGTCGTAGCCGTAGTAGTACTCGTAGCCGCCGTAGCACTAGTAGTAGCAGTCGTAGTAGCATTAGTAGTAGTAGTAGTAGTAGTAGTAGTAGTAGTAGTAGTAGTAGTAGTAGTAGTAGTAGTACCCATAAAAGTAGTAGCGATAGCAGTAATAGTCGTCGTAGGAGTCGTCGCAGTCGTAGTGGTAGTAGTAGTAGTAGTCGTAGTAGTAGTAGTAGTAGTAGTAGTAGTAGTAGTAGTCGTAGTAGTAGTAGTAGTAGTAGTAGTAGTCGCAGCAGTTGTAGCAGTAGTGGTAGTAGTAGTAGTAGTAGTAGTAGTAGTCGTAGTAGTAGTAGTAGTAGCAGTAGTAGTAGTAGTAGTATTAGTAGCAGTAGTAGTAGTAATAGTCGCAGTAGTAGTAGTAGTAGTAGTAGTAGTAGTAGTAGTAGTATCAGTAGAAGCAGGAGTCGTAGCAGTAGCAGTCGCCACCTAGTAGTAGTAGTCGTAGTCGTAGTAGTAGTAGTAGTAGTAGTAGTAGTAGTAGTAGTAGTA